GTCCCTTGGGGTGAACAGCCCCCGCCACCTCTCGGCGGGCTCGCTTCCCCTTCCTGGCCCTCAGTCCTTATCTCTCATGGTCCACTGGGGCGCCCCCAATTGCCCAGGATGCGGGGGAGGCGAAGGGGGCCGGAGAACCGCACTCCCGCGCTGGTCTCTAGAAGCGCAAGGTCCAGGCCAGGTGCGTCCGAGTCCAGGCTGCTCTGCAGCCTGCGCCCTTGACCCCGGGCAGGTCACCGCGGGGTCGCTCTCGGGCCTCGCTGCCCGCGCACGTGCGCCGTCCCGCGCCCTCCTGGGTGGCTGAGTGGGTCCCGGGGCGGCGGGGGAGTGGGACCGCTCACCAGCTGGGGGAAATGCCAGGCAGCATCCCCGCGCACGCTTTCCGGGTCTCGCTCAGCCGCCGTGAAGTTTATCCCGCCGTAGGGCCGGGGCTGTGGCGACCAGGAGTCCGGGGACGCCAATCTTCTCCGCGAGGCTTAACTCCCTTCTCGCTCACAAACTCCTCGCCCCTCCGCCCTCGGGCACTGTCGCTTCCCCTCAAAATCTCCCCGCGCAGCTCGACTCCCCAAGCGGGGGCGTCAAGGATCTTCCTTTCCGCTCAGTGCTCTCCGGGCTGCCCTGCAAACCCCGCTCACAGAAGGGATAGGAGGGAAGGGGACCGATGCTCGGAGCAGTGGACGCGGCGTCCGCGACGCAATTCGCAGTCTCCCGCCTCTCGGCGCTGCGCTCTCCGCAGCAGCCAACGTGGGCTTTCTGGTGCGCCTCTCGCCCAGGTACCGCACTCCAGCCCCCGGGACTCCCCGCCCTCCCGGGAAACGGACAGGCGGGCAGCCAATGGAGAGGCTCGTCTCTCCGGTATTTAAATAGACCCGCCCCCTTCTTTCACCCTCCCTCTCCCCCGGGGCGTCGCCTGGGCGGCGCGTAGGTTTCAAGTACACAGACGATTCTTAGAGGCACCAGGGAGCCGCGAGGTAGCAAAGGCAAAGGCATGGTCATCACTGGTAAGAATGATCTGATCAACATCCCCAATGTGAATCACACAAAGCGCCTCAATGGATGCTTTAACTGAATAAAAGTAAAATCAGCTGTTAACTCAATGCCGGATTGAGGAAGAACAGAAAAGGGATAGTTTTCCCATTCCTTTCTTAGTTTCTCATATTGATGTATAATATAGGCGTCTAGTGGACACGTGGCTTTCAAAGGCAGCTGCTGAAAGTCGGGACACACCCTTCCAGAAGCTGCTCACAAACTGGCCGCTGAGCAGGCCAAATGTAAGCCAGACCCGGAGTCTGGAAGGTTGGGGGCCAAATATTTTGACTTATCTCTTCATTTGGATTTTGGCTTGGCTTCTTAAGCTAGCACCCAAAAGGAAGAGGGTGTGATCAGATAAAATAATTAAAATGCCACCCACTAGCTTCTTGAAAAAGCTTCTTCAGTTTGTTAACATTGCATTTTAATATATTGAAATGCAATAGATGCAAGATACATTATGCAAGATAAATAAAACTCGAGGCGAGGTGGTAAAGCTAATTCCAGTTCCCACTCTGGACAGTAGATAGAGCCCTGAAACTCAGATTAAGCATTAGACAAGATCAAGTATGTAAAACACATGTTCCACTTTCATGGCAGGTACCACCATCTGCCTTTCAGGATGTAAATTTATTTGTACTTATACTATCCAAGAATGCTCAAAAACCTATGGATCCTAGCAACTTCACCTAAAACATTAGGATCTTTTATCTGGTGAAACATGTGTGGCTTAAGAAACAAAAACTGCCATTTGCTGGACCTAGCAGCCTTAGTTCAATAGTCCAAGGCATTTGAGAGCCAGAATACGGGATCCCTGGACTTAATGAGATCCTGGGGTTTCTGCTGATCCAGAGCTTATAAGCATTTTTATCTTATTTCAATGAATCTGTTTTGCATGGGTAAGGGTCTTTACCTCCGAACATCCAATCATCCATTGGGTCACCCTTTCTCCTTCTGTCTGGGCCCTGACACAGTGGTCATTTAGAACCGGCTTTAATTCTACAGATGTCCCATAGCCATTGACCTCAGGCAAGGCAAGTTCAACAGCACTGGAGGCCAGTTTTTACCATCTGCAGGGGTTCTTTTCATCTGAAAAGAGAAGACATCACTACTTGGTCTGGGATGCCAGGACTCTTAGAATTCAAGAGCCTACATCACATCTCTCTCTGTATGGGACTTAATACAAGCATAAAATTATTGCAGTGCATAAAATCACAGTAGCAAGATTTCTGATCAGAAAGTCTGAAATCTCTAAGTATATGTAGGCTTCCTGCCAAGGTCCTCTTTTCTCAAACTTAATCACACCTTCTTTTCAAGACTTCTAGTGAGACACAAGCAGAGTACAAGTAGTTCCAACCTATAAGGGCAGTGGGGAAAGCACTAGAAATCTGTAAATGTCTGATCATCTAGGTAGGGCTATGCAGTTTAAAACACATCTACATGCACCTTTAGTAAATGTATATATGATCTAGTAGAGAAACACACACACACACACACACACACACACACACACACACACACACAGAGAGAGAGAGAGAGAGAGAGAGAGAGAGAGAGAGACTCTTCCCATTTTCTTAGATACTTGGTAAGAGGTAAATGGGCCTGTATGATATGGGTCTAAAATGGCACTTAGTGATTTATTTTCAGTTAAACATCGGATCAGCAACCCTGATTCAGGTCTTCCATGGACGCCCCTTCCCCACCAAGATGGTATCTCAGTTCTTGTATGATGCTAGAAAAGGTGGGACTGGGGGTGGGGGGGCGCTGATGATGAACACAAGAGCACATAACTCTGTGAACAGCCAGGAAAAAATGTGTGAAGTGAATTATGACAATGACCATAAGGACAATGACATTCAACTGAAGGCCACAAAGAGGATGTGCTCTTCTCACGTCCCCACCACTCCCAGCATGTGCCCATGACTGTCAGAAAACACTCAGAAACATCCTTGGTTCCACTGGGGGCAAAGGGGATAAAGAGATGTGGTTCTGAAATTTTAATAACCTAAAAATCGGGACCACTGCTTTTCCAAGCCAATTGGAACTCCCGGCAGATAAGGAACCCCTAACCACCACCTCACGCATGCCCTGCTTCTGTGACCCATTCCCATCACACCCCTCACACTCCCCAAAAGTCTTAGGACAGAGAACTGGACAAAGTCCAGCTGTGATTCAGGACGGGTGGCATGAAGGGAGAGAACAGGTCTGGCTTTGGAGTCTGCTGAAATGTGCGAACCAAACCGACTGTAGAAAAATTAGAGGTAACTTCGCCCCCTGCAGGACATCAAAAGATTGTCGCCCCTTCCTCTGTGCACTGGACAAGCTTCATTAAGTTCTCTGTGCTTGTCTCCAAAACATCTGGGTGGAAAGAGGAGGAATTCAGTCAAGAAGCCGGATGTGGGACTCAATCCATATCACACATCTGGTTGCTTGGCTGATATTTCATGCAGATGGCCGTCAGTTTTCTGGAAATATTGCCTGTCTCACTCCTGCCCCCTTAACGAAAGAGTGAAGAACCCTCACTCTAAAGCACAGGTTTGTCCCATGCCTTTGGTGAAAATAGGGGTTAGGGTGAGAGTCCTGTACCCAAATGTTCATTAGTGCACACGGTAATTCACACAACACATTCTCTAAAGCAGCAGTTATCCTTGTTCCTTTTATATTATGAGGGTTTCTATTATACCTTTATAACACAGATGACCAAATAATTTGTCTTCAAAATATACTGTTTATTAATTTGATATGTTAAATATTCTATATTTTTCTTTTAATTACTAGCAATAAACTGCATTGAAGTATTTGATTTTATACTAAAATATATCTTGGCCCCTTTCAACAGACTTTTTTGAAGATGTAAGTAGCTGATTTTCGATTAAGTTAACATATAATTGTTATAGCTACTAATATGCTGCTCTTGTGTCAAAAAGCCTGAGGTCTGGTCGCCTTGAATCCTTGGGAAACTCACTTAAAATTGCTGCAGTTTTATCTTTAATATTAATGTAAGGAGTTGGGTAGTTCTTAATATTAATTTCTAAATATAATATTTTGCTCACATTTTAAAAATATCAATTTGGAGTGGAGTGAAAAGGAAATATGTTAAGCAAATGTTTGTAGAGTATGAGAAATGAAAATTTGAGAGTTACATAAATATTGCTTCTGAAAACTACACCTGTAAGACAGCCTTCAAAATACATGCCCCATCCAAAAGCCTGTGGTAACATTTACATTCACTCACACTTTCCTTCACTGTCAACCATTCAAAAATGCTGGGCATTCACACTTCAAAATATCATGCGAGCCATCATATTTTCCTACTCGTGAAGGACATCTGGTGGCAAAGTGAAAAACTAATACATAAACCTGTTTCCAGAGGTTTTTTCCACACTACAA